GGTTTGCAATAAGACTGGTGCCAGAGTCAAGAGGGTTAAGCTACGAGACTTGGTTAGTTGCACTAAATCTCACAACGCTAGAGGATACAAGGAACAGAGGGGATATAATCACTACATACAAGATAATGTTGGAGAATAGATAAGGTGAACAAGGATAGCCTTTTCAAACTGAGAGAAAGTAGTACACGAGGACACAAGTGGAAGTTGGAAACGCAAATGAGTCGAATGAGTGTAAGGAAATATTGGTAGCGTGTCCGGCTGGTCAACAAGTGGAAGGACCTGAAAGAAGTTGTGGAGGCCGCCTCCATCCACAACTTTATGGTCAGATTCGACAAAATATCAGAGCATCAAAATATTTAGAGAGTCGGTTGGTTAAGAGCCTGGTGAAAGGTGTGAATGAGAAGTCAACGCGGTACATTGGAAAGGTGAGAGGAGTGAGAGGAGAATGAAAGGGGGGGGGGGGGGGAGTGAAGCAGGGAGGGTGAAGGGGTATATAACCCGGTAGTGTGTGTGTTGAGCACTCCACGCGTTAATCATTACCCTGCACGCCTCCACCCCCACCCCAGCCATGCTCTCTCCTCTTTCTCACACGCACGCACGCACACGTTGGGCATCGCGGCCGAGTAGACAGCGCTAGGGGTCATAGCCCATTGGGCCCCCATTCGATTCCCGGCCGAGGCCCCTCCCCCCCAAAAAAAAGCTAATTTCTTTCACTTGATGCTCCTGCTCACCGAGCAGTAAATGGTACCTGAGAGTTAGAAAGCTGCTAGGTAGGTGTTTGTGTGTAATCTCTGGGACTTTTGAGTACTTCCACCCATTCCCCCTCGTCCTGTTATCATATACCACTCAATTTCCCTGAATTTTTATACATCCTTCATATACCCTCTCTCCCTTCGTTTTTCTAGTGTTGTAAGATTCAGTTCCTTCAGACGCTCTTCATATGCCATCCCTCGTAACTCTGGGACGAGCCTCGTCGCAAACTTCTGAACCTTTTCCAGCTTCCATATGTGTTTCTTCAGGTGGGGACTCCATGATGGCACGGCATACTCTAAGATTGGCCTCACATAGGCAGTGTAAAGCGCCCAAAAAGCCTCCTATCTTAGATTTCTGAATGATGTTCTAACTTTTTGCCCCCTTCATTGTGTATTGTCCCGTTGGTCTCCTATCACGCGACCCCATTTCTATAACTTTACATTTACTAGTGTTGAACTCCAGTAGCCATTTCTCTGACCATCTCTGCAACCTGTCCAGGTCCTCTTGGAGGATCCTACAATCCTCATCTGTCACAACTGTCATTTACTTTAAACTAGATAGATTTCTCCAATGAGTGCCGGACCAACCGGGCTGTGGTGGGTATGTGGACCTGCGGGCCGCTCCAAGCAACAGCTTGGTGGACCAAACTCTCACAAGGCAAACCTGGCCTTGGACCGGGCTTGGAGAATAGAAAAACTCCAGGAACCCCATCAAGCAGGTATCAATCAGGTACAACTCTTTTTCATTAATTTTGCGTCATCCGCGAACATTGACATGTAGGATTCTACTCCTGTAAACATGTCATTTACGTAAATTAGAAATAGAATTGGTCCCACCACCGATCCTTGAGGTACTCCACTCGTTACTGTTAGTCAGTCCAACTTCTCGACCCTTACCATTACTGTCTGGCTCCTTCCTGTTAGGTAGTTCCTTACCCCATGCCAGGTCCTTGCCGCTTACTTCTGCCTGCCTTTCAAGTTTGAGTAGCAGTCTCCTGTGCGGTACTGTATCAAAGGCCTTTGGTGTGGCGTTTGGCCTTTGCTGACTTTGGTGACACACGCCAGGGGACACAGGTGGAAATTGAGTGCCCAGATATGATAGGCACTCACACACACATCAAAGGTAGGTAGGTAGGTGTGTGTGTGTGTGTGTGTGTGTGTGTGTGTGTGTGTGTGTGTGTGTGTGTGTGTGTGTGTGTGTGTACTCACATAATTGTGCTTGCGGGGGTTGAGCTCTGCTCTTTCGGCCCGCCTCTCAACTATCAATCAACTGTTACTAATTACTTTTTTTCCATACCACACGCACCCCCAGGAAGCAGCCCTTGACAGCTGACTAACTCCCAAGTACCTATTTACTGCTAGGTAACAGGAGCATCAGGGTGAAAGAAACTCTGCCCATTGTTTCTCGCCAGAGCCCGGAATCGAACCCGGGACCACAGGATCACGCGTCCAGCGTGCTGTCCGCTCAGCCATGTGTGTGTGTATACTCATCTAGTTGTACTCACCTAGTTGTGTTTGCGGGGGTTGAGCTCTGGCTCTTTGGTCCCGCCTCTCAACCGTCAATCAACAGGTGTACAGATTCCTGAGCTTACTGGCCTCTATCATATCTACACTTGAAACTGTGTATGGAGTCAGCCTCCACCACATCACTCCCTAATGCATTCCATTTGTCAACCACTCTGACACTAAAAAAGTTCTTTCTAATATCTCTGTGGCTCATTTGGGCACTCAGTTTCCACCTGTGTCCCCTAGTGCGTGCTCCCCTTGTGTTAAATAGTCTGTCTTTATCTACCCTCTCAATTCCCTTCAAAATCTTGAATGTGGTGATCATGTCCCCCCTAACTCTTCTGTCTTCCAGCGAAGTGAGGTTTAATTCCCGTAGTCTCTCCTCGTAGCTCATACCTCTCAGCTCGGGTACTAGTCTGGTGGCAAACCTTTGAACCTTTTCCAGTTTAGTCTTATCCTTGACTAGATATGGACTCCATGCTGGGGCTGCATACTCCAGGATTGGCCTGACATATGTGGTATACAAAGTTCTGAATGATTCTTTACACAAGTTTCTGAATGCCGTTCGTATGTTGGCCAGCCTGGCATATGCCGCTGATGTTATCCTCCTGATATGTGCTGCAGGAGACAGGTCTGGCGTGATATCAACCCCCAAGTCTTTTTCTTTCTCTGACTCCTGAAGAATTTCCTCTCCCAGATGATACCTTGTATCTGGCCTCCTGCTCCCTACACCTATCTTCATTACATTACATTTGGTTGGGTTAAACTCTAACAACCATTTGTTCGACCATTCCTTTAGCTTGTCTAGGTCTTCTTGAAGCCTCAAATAGTCCTCTTCTGTCTTAATACTTCTCATAATTTTGGCATCGTCCGCAAACATTGAGAGAAATGAATCGATACCCTCCGGGAGATCATTTACATATATCAGAAACAAGATAGGACCGAGTACAGAGCCCTGTGGGACTCCACTGGTGACTTCACGCCAATCGGAGGTCTCACCCCTCACCGTAACTCTCTGCTTCCTATTACTTAGGTACTCCCTGTGTGTGTGTGTGTACTCACGTAATTGTACTCACCTATTTGTGCTTGCGGGGGTTAAGCTTTGGCTCTTTGGTCCCGCCTCTCAACTGTCAATCAACTGGTGTACAGATTCCTGCGCCAACTGGGCTCTATCATATCTACATTTGAAACTGTGTATGGAGTCAGCCTCCACCTCATCACTGCCTAATGCATTCCATCTGTTAACTACTCTGACACTGAAAAACTTCTTTCTAACGTCCCTGTGGCTCATTGGGGAACTCAGTTTCCACCTGTGTCCCCTTGTTCGCCTACCACCGTTGTTGAATAGTTTAACCTAGTCTACCCTGTCAATTCCCCTGAGGATTTTGTAGGCAGTGATCATGTCTCCCCTTATTCTTCTGTCTTCCAGTGTCGTAAGCTGCATTTCCCGCAGCCTTTTCTCGCAACTCATGCCTCTTAGTTCTGGGACTAGTCTTGTGGCATATCTGTGAACTTTTTCAAGCTTCGCCTTGAACTTGACAAGGTATGGGCTCCATGCTGGGGCCGCATACTCCAGGATTGGTCTTACGTATGTGGTATACAAGGTTCTGAATGATTTCTTACACAGGTTCCTGAAGGCTGTTCTGATGTTACCCAGCCTCGCATATGCCGAAGATGTTATTCTTTTCTTGTGGGGTTCAGGAGACACTTCTGTGTGTGTGTGTGTGTGTGTGTGTGTGTGTGTGTGTGTGTGTGTGTGTGTGTGTGTGTGTGTGTGTGTGTGTGTGTGTGTGTGTTAGAGAGAAATATATGTACCAGATATGAGAGTACAGTAGGCCGGGAGTCAGTACACTAGACAACTGCTGTGCAGTGTACTGACATAGAAAGTAATGACAAGAAAGGTGGGGTCCAAGAGCTAACAACTCGATCCTGCAGGAACAAATAGTAAATACAAACCCGTACACAGCAGACATGATAGCGAAATAGATCAGGAATGGCTGCAGTAAACCAGTAGCTAGAAAGGTGGGGTCCGAGAGCTAAATCACGCCTACACGCTCGCAAGCGTACCCTCATCCCACCCTCAGGAGCGTTGGAAGCAGGCGTGGCCCAGGAGCTAGCGCTCGACTCTGCAATCCCATTTAGGGGAGGACTGGCGCGCGTGCCTCCAGCCTGCCGTCCCTGAAGCATGCTCATCAGCCTGCACTTCCCACGCCAGCCCTCATCGACCCCAGCACGCGCCGCCCTCCACCTCCACCCACCCTGGCGGCCTGCTCCACCCTCTGCGGGGACCACCGCCGTCCTCCACCTCCACCCACCCTGGCGGCCTGCTCCACCCTCTGCGGGGACCACCGCCGTCCTCCACCTCCACCCACCCTGGCGGCCTGCTCCACCCTCTGCGGGGACCACCGCCGCCCTCCACCTCCACCCACCCTGGCGGCCTGCTCCACCCTCTGCAGGGACCACCGCCGCCCTCCACCTCCACCCACCCTGGCGGCCTGCTCCACCCTCTGCGTGGACCTCCGCCGCCCTCCACCTCCACCCACCCTGGCGGCCTGCTCCACCCTCTGCGGGGACCACCGCCGCCCTCCACCCACCCTGGCGGCCTGCTCCACCCTCTGCGGGGACCACCGCCGCCCTCACCTCTCACATGTATGCCACACACACACACACGACACACGACACCCGTCACACGTATGACTTAACACCGTCTCCTGCCCAGGCAACCACTGGGGCCTTGACCAGATGGACGTAGCGAACACGGTCAAGGCTGCGAGGCGTCGCATCCCTCCGCTGATGAACGGCGCCACGCGGGCCACAGCTCACCTCTCCGACACAAAGTGTAAACAAACACACACAGGGCGGGACGCCTGAGCACAATAACATGGGCAGGATTCATCAAGCATTTACGCATCCACTTATTCATTTATTTCATTTATTCAACAGCTTACGAGCTCCCAAGCACTACGAGGTTCTTATAACAATAATAACCTTGGCTTGCGATGTTTCCAGCCTCGTAAAGTGTGTAATAAATATGATCAAAGCCGCCATGATTGATGAATGATGCACTGGTTTCGTAAGAGAGGGCGTAAATGCCAGTTCTCTCGATTGCCACTCCGTAAAATATGCAGGTGTTGGGCACAGCTGTAAGCGTCACAACTTGGGCACCTCGCCTCACCCACCGGGGTCAATACTCTTCACTCCCTCGAGTAGTCAATATTTAATCTTCCAAACCACAGCAATTGTTACGATTGTAATACGTAAAGGGTCCTCCAGCGAGAACAATCCGGGCAATAGCTCCTTCAGCGAGAACAATCCGGGCAATAGCTCCTTCAGCGAGAACAATCCGGGCAATAGCTCCTTCAGCGAGAACAATCAGGGCAATAGCTCCTTCAGCGAGAACAATCAGGGCAATAGCTCCTTCAGCGAGAACAATCAGGGCAATAGCTCCTTCAGCGAGAACAATCAGGGCAATAGCTCCTTCAGCGAGAACAATCCGGGCAATAGCTCCTTCAGCGAGAACAATCAGGGCAATAGCTCCTTCAGCGAGAACAATCAGGGCAATAGCTCCTTCAGCGAGAACAATCAGGGCAATAGCTCCTTCAGCGAGAACAATCAGGGCAATAGCTCCTTCAGCGAGAACAATCAGGGCAATAGCTCCTTCAGCGAGAACAATCAGGGCAATAGCTCCTTCAGCGAGAACATTCCGGGCAATAGCTCCTTCAGCGAGAACAATCAGGGCAATAGCTCCTTCAGCGAGAACAATCAGGGCAATAGCTCCTTCAGCGAGAACAATCAGGGCAATAGCTCCTTCAGCGAGAACATTCCGGGCAATAGCTCCTTCAGCGAGAACAATCAGGGCAATAGCTCCTTCAGCGAGAACAATCAGGGCAATAGCTCCTTCAGCATGAACAGTCAGGGCAATGGGTCCTACGATAACAATCAGGTCAATAAGTCTTACAGCGAGAACAATCAGAATTAACCAAAAAATTAACAAAACACTGTTGTTAGTATTGTAAGTGTGAGAGGTTGAAGTCAATACTCGCTGAAGTCAATCTCAGTGTGCAGGCGAGAGTTCTACGTCCTTATACTTATAGCAGCTCCGTCAACACCAACTGGTCGACCTGACTCTTGTAGACCTCAATGGTCCTGTCATCTTGACGACTCTCTCTCCTCTCTGACTATGGCCTACCATTGCTTAGGTTCCTCCCCAACACCCGCCACCGGTGGTCCTCCCCAACACCCACCACCGGTGGTCCTCCCCAACACCCACCACCGGTGGTCCTCCCCAACACCCACCACAACACCCACCACCGGTGGTCCTCCCCAACACCCACCACCGGTGGTCCTCCCCAACACCCACCACCGGTGGTCCTCCCCAACACCCACCACCGGTGGTACTCCCCAACACCCACCACCGGTGGTCCTCCCCAACACCCACCACCGGTGGTCCTCCCCAACACCCACCACCGGTGGTCCTCCCCAACACCCACCACCGGTGGTCCTCCCCAACACCCACCACCGGTGGTCCTCCCCAACACCCACCACCGGTGGTCCTCCCCAACACCCACCACCGGTGGTCCTCCCCAACACCCACCACCGGTGGTACTCCCCAACACCCACCACCGGTGGTCCTCCCCAACACCCACCACCGGTGGTCCTCCCCAACACCCACCACCGGTGGTCCTCCCCAACACCCACCACCGGTGGTACTCCCCAACACCGGTGGTCCTCCCCAACACCCACCACCGGTGGTCCTCCCCAACACCCACCACCGGTGGTACTCCCCAACACCCACCACCGGTGGTCCTCCCCAACACCCACCACCGGTGGTCCTCCCCAACACCCACCACCGGTGGTCCTCCCCAACACCCACCACCGGTGGTCCTCCCCAACACCCACCACCGGTGGTCCTCCCCAACACCCACCACCGGTGGTCCTCCCCAACACCTACCACCGGTGGTACTCCCCAACACCCACCACCGGTGGTCCTCCCCAACACCCACCACCGGTGGTACTCCCCAACACCCACCACCGGTGGTCCTCCCCAACACCCACCACCGGTGGTACTCCCCAACACCCACCACCGGTGGTCCTCCCCAACACCCACCACCGGTGGTCCTCCCCAACACCCACCACCGGTGGTCCTCCCCAACACCCACCACAGACCCTCAGCCAGGGAACACCAGCCACCAACCTCAGGAATATTGGTATATTTATCGGTGTTATTAAACCTGGCGAGCTGCTGGCCACCGCCGTGTGGTGCTCTATGAGGCGCATGTGCTCACTCCATGTGTGGTGCTCACTGCATGTGTGGTGCTCACTGCATGTGTGGTGCTCACTGCATGTGTGGTGCTCACTGTGTGTGTGGTGGTCCCTGCATGTGTGGTGGTCCCTGCATGTGTGGTGCTCCCTGCATGTGTGGTGCTCCCTGCATGTGTGGTGCTCCCTGCATGTGTGGTGCTCACTGCATGTGTGGTGGTCACTGCATGTGTGGTGGTCACTGTGTGTGTGGTGGTCACTGTGTGTTTGGTGCTCTATGAGGCGCATGTGCTCACTCCATGTGTGGTGCTCCCTGCATGTGTGGTGCTCACTGCATGTGTGGTGGTCACTGTGTGTGTAGTGCTCTATGAGGCGCATGTGCTCCCTGCATGTGTGGTGCTCCCTGCATGTGTGGTGCTCACTGCATGTGTGGTGCTCCCTGCATGTGTGGTGCTCACTGCATGTGTGGTGCTCACTGTATGTGTGGTGGTCACTGTGTGTGTGGTGCTCACTGCATGTGTGGTGCTCACTGTGTGTGTGGTGCTCACTGCATGTGTGGTGCTCACTGTGTGTGTGGTGCTCACTGTATGTGTGGTGCTCACTGTGTGTGTGGTGCTCACTGCATGTGTGGTGCTCACTGCATGTGTGGTGCTCACTGCGTGTGTGGTGCTCACTGCGTGTGTGGTGCTCACTGTGTGTGTGGTGCTCACTGTGTGTGTGGTGCTCACTGCGTGTGTGGTGCTCACTGTGTGTGTGGTGCTCACTGTGTGTGTGGTGCTCACTGTGTGTGTGGTGCTCACTGTGTGTGTGGTGCTCACTGTGTGTGTGGTGCTCACTGCCTGTGTGGTGCTCACTGTGTGTGTGGTGCTCACTGCATGTGTGGTGGTCACTGTGTGTGTGGTGCTCACTCCATGTGTGGTGCTCACTGTGTGTGTGGTGCTCACTGTGTGTGTGGTGCTCACTGCATGTGTGGTGCTCACTGTGTGTGTGGTGCTCACTGTGTGTGTGGTGCTCACTCCATGTGTGGTGCTCACTCCATGTGTGGTGCTCACTGCATGTGTGGTGCTCACTGTGTGTGTGGTGCTCACTCCATGTGTGGTGCTCACTGTGTGTGTGGTGCTCACTGCACGTGTGGTGCTCACTGCATGTGTGGTGCTCACTCCATGTGTGGTGCTCACTCCATGTGTGGTGCTCACTGCATGTGTGGTGCTCACTGTGTGTGTGGTGCTCACTGTATGTGTGGTGCTCACTGTGTGTGTGGTGCTCACTGCATGTGTGGTGCTCACTGTGTGTGTGGTGCTCACTGTGTGTGTGGTGCTCACTGTATGTGTGGTGCTCACTGTGTGTGTGGTGCTCACTGTGTGTGTGGTGCTCACTGCATGTGTGGTGCTCACTGTATGTGTGGTGCTCACTGTATGTGTGGTGCTCACTGTGTGTGTGGTGCTCACTGCATGTGTGGTGCTCACTGTGTGTGTGGTGCTCACTGCATATGTGGTGCTCACTGCATGTGTGGTGCTCACTGTGTGTGTGGTGCTCACTGTGTGTGTGTGGTGCTCACTGCATGTGTGGTGCTCACTGTATGTGTGGTGCTCACTGCATGTGTGGTGCTCACTGCATGTGTGGTGCTCACTGCATGTGTGGTGCTCACTGCATGTGTGGTGCTCACTGCATGTGTGGTGCTCACTGCATGTGTGGTGATCACTGTGTGTGTGGTGCTCACTGCATGTGTGGTGCTCACTGTGTGTGTGGTGCTCACTGCATGTGTGGTGCTCACTGCATGTGTGGTGCTCACTGCATGTGTGGTGCTCACTGCATGTGTGGTGCTCACTGTGTGTGTGGTGCTCACTGCATGTGTGGTGCTCACTGTATGTGTGGTGCTCACTGTGTGTGTGGTGCTCACTGCATGTGTGGTGCTCACTGTGTGTGTGGTGCTCACTCCATGTGTGGTGCTCACTGCATGTGTGGTGCTCACTGTGTGTGTGGTGCTCACTGCATGTGTGGTGCTCACTGAGTGTGTGGTGCTCACTGTGTGTGTGTGGTGCTCACTGTGTGTGTGGTGCTCACTGCATGTGTGGTGCTCACTCCATGTGTGGTGCTCACTGCATGTGTGGTGCTCACTGTGTGTGTGGTGCTCACTGCATGTGTGGTGCTCACTGTGTGTGTGGTGCTCACTGTGTGTGTGGTGCTCACTGTGTGTGTGGTGCTCACTGCATGTGTGGTGCTCACTGTGTGTGTGGTGCTCACTCCATGTGTGGTGCTCACTGTGTGTGTGGTGCTCACTGCACGTGTGGTGCTCACTGCACGTGTGGTGCTCACTGCATGTGTGGTGCTCACGGCATGTGTGGTCACGGCATGTGTGGTGCTCACTGCGTGTGTGGTGCTCACTGCGTGTGTGGTGCTCACGGCATGTGTGGTGCTCACTGCGTGTGTGGTGCTCACTGCGTGTGTGGTGCTCACTGCATGTGTGGTGCTCACGGCATGTGTGGTGCTCACTGCATGTGTGGTGCTCACTGCGTGTGTGGTGCTCACTGCATGTGTGGTGCTCACTGCGTGTGTGGTGCTCACTGCGTGTGTGGTGCTCACTGCGTGTGTGGTGCTCACGGCATGTGCGGTGCTCACTGCATGTGTGGTGCTCACTGCATGTGTGGTGCTCACTGCATGTGTGGTGCTCACTGCGTGTGTGGTGCTCACTGCATGTGTGGTGGTCACTGCTTGTGTGGTGCTCACTGCGTGTGTGGTGCTCACTGCATGTGTGGTGCTCACTGCGTGTGTGGTGCTCACTGCATGTGTGGTGGTCACTGCGTGTGTGGTGCTCACTGCATGTGTGGTGGTCACGGCATGTGTGGTGCTCACTGCATGTGTGGTGCTCACTGCATGTGTGGTGGTCACTCCATGTGTGGTGCTCACTGCATGTGTGGTGCTCACTGCGTGTGTGGTGCTCACTGCGTGTGTGGTGCTCACTGTGTGTGTGGTGCTCACTGCGTGTGTGGTGCTCACTGTGTGTGTGGTGCTCACTGCGTGTGTGGTGCTCACTGTGTGTGTGGTGCTCACTGCGTGTGTGGTGCTCACTGTGTGTGTGGTGCTCACTGTGTGTGTGGTGCTCCCTGCATGTGTGGTGCTCACTGCATGTGTGGTGCTCACTGCATGTGTGGTGGTCACTGTGTGTGTGGTGCTCACTGTGTGTGTGGTGCTCACTGCATGTGTGGTGCTCACTGTGTGTGTGGTGCTCACTGCATGTGTGGTGCTCACTGTGTGTGTGGTGCTCACTGCATGTGTGGTGGTCACTGTGTGTGTGGTGCTCACTGTGTGTGTGGTGCTCACTGCATGTGTGGTGGTCACTGCATGTGTGGTGCTCACTGTGTGTGTGGTGCTCACTGTGTGTGTGGTGCTCACTGTGTGTGTGGTGCTCACTGCATGTGTGGTGCTCACTGTGTGTGTGGTGCTCACTGTGTGTGTGGTGCTCACTGCATGTGTGGTGCTCACTGTGTGTGTGGTGCTCACTGTGTGTGTGGTGCTCACTGCATGTGTGGTGCTCACTGCATGAGTCGTGCTCACTGCATGTGTGGTGCTCACTGCATGTGTGGTGCTCACTGCGTGTGTGGTGCTCACTGTGTGTGGTGCTCACTGCATGTGTGGTGCTCACTGCGTGTGAGGTGCTCACTGTGTGTGTGCTGCTCACTGTGTGTGTGGTGCTCACTGCGTGTGGTGCTCACTGCATGTGTGGTGGTCACTGCGTGTGTGGTGCTCACTGCGTGTGTGGTGTTCACTGCATGTGTGGTGGTCACTGCGTGTGTGCCTCCAACAGCCTGGTTGACCAGTCCAGCAACCAGGAGACCTGGTCGACGACCGGGCCGTGGGGACGTTAAGCCCCGGAAACACCTCAAGGTAAGGTAAGGTAAGGGAGGGTGGTGGACACTACACCAGGGGAGGGTGGTGGACACTACACCAGGGGAGGGTGGTGGACACTACACCAAGGGAGGGTGGTGGACACTACACCAGGGGAGGGTGGTGGACACTACACCAAGGGAGGGTGGTGGACACTACACCAGTGGAGGGTGGTGGACACAACACCAAGGGAGGGTGGTGGACACTACACCAAGGGAGGGTGGTGGACACTACACCAGGGGAGGGTGGTGGACACTACACCAAGGGAGGGTGGTGGGCACTACACCAGGGGAGGGTGGTGGACACTACACCAAGGGAGGGTGGTGGACACTACACCAAGGGAGGGTGGTGGACACTACACCAGGGGAGGGTGGTGGACACTACACCAAGGGAGGGTGGTGGACACTACACCAGGGGAGGGTGGTGGACACTACACCAGGGGAGGGTGGTGGACACTACACCAAGGGAGGGTGGTGGACACTACACCAGGGGAGGGTGGTGGACACTACACCAAGGGAGGGTGGTGGACACTACACCAAGGGAGGGTGGTGGACACTACACCAGGGGAGGGTGGTGGACACTACACCAAGGGAGGGTGGTGGACACTACACCAGGGGAGGGTGGTGGACACTACACCAGGGGAGGGTGGTGGACACTACACCAAGGGAGGGTGGTGGACACTACACTAGGGGAGGGTGGTGGACACTACACCAAGGGAGGGTGGTGGACACTACACCAAGGGAGGGTGGTGGACACTACACCAGGGGAGGGTGGTGGACACTACACCAGGGGAGGGTGGTGGACACTACACCAAGGGAGGGTGGTGGACACTACACCAGGGGAGGGTGGTGGACACAACACCAAGGGAGGGTGGTGGACACTACACCAAGGGAGGGTGGTGGACACTACACCAGGGGAGGGTGGTGGACAGTACACCAGGGGAGGGTGGTGGACACTACACCAGGGGAGGGTGGTGGACACTACACCAAGGGAGGGTGGTGGACACAACACCAAGGGAGGGTGGTGGACACTACACCAGGGGAGGGTGGTGGACACTACACCAGGGGAGGGTGGTGGACACTACACGACAAGAGAGAGCAACGACAACAGAGAGCAACGACAACAGAGAGCAACGACAACAGACAACAACGACAACAGAGAGCAACGACAACAGAGAGCAACGACAACAGAGAGCAACGACAACAGAGAGCAACGACAACAGAGAGCAACGACAACAGACAACAACGACAACAGAGAGCAACGACAACAGAGAGCAACGACAACAGAGAGCAACGACAACAGAGAGCAACGACAACAGAGAGCAACGACAACAGAGAGCAACGACAACAGAGAGCAACGACAACAGACAACAACGACAACAGAGAGCAACGACAACAGAGAGCAACGACAACAGAGAGCAACGACAACAGAGAGCAACGACAACAGAGAGCAACGACAACAGAGAGCAACGACAACAGAGAACAACGACAACAGAGAGCAACGACAACAGAGAGCAACGACAACAGAGAGCAACGACAACAGAGAGCAACGACAACAGACAACAACGACAACAGAGAGCAACGACAACAGAGAGCAACGACAACAGACAACAACGACAACAGACAACAACGACAACAGAGAGCAACGACAACAGAGAGCAACGACAACAGAGAGCAACGACAACAGAGAGCAACGACAACAGAGAGCAACGACAACAGACAACAACGACAACAGAGAGCAACGACAACAGAGAGCAACGACAACAGAGAGCAACGACAACAGAGAGCAACGACAACAGAGAGCAACGACAACAGAGAGCAACGACAACAGACAACAACGACAACAGAGAGCAACGACAACAGAGAGCAACGACAACAGAGAACAACGACAACAGAGAGCAACGACAACAGAGAGCAACGACAACAGAGAGCAACGACAACAGAGAGCAACGACAACAGAGAGCAACGACAACAGAGAGCAACGACAACAGAGAACAACGACAACAGAGAGCAACGACAACAGAGAACAACGACAACAGAGAGCAACGACAACAGACAACAACGACAACAGAGAGCAACGACAACAGAGAGCAACGACATCAGAGAGCAACGACAACAGACAACAACGACAACAGAGAGCAACGACAACAGAGAACAACGACAACAGAGAGCAACGACAACAGAGAGCAACGACAACAGAGAACAACGACAACAGAGAGCAACGACAACAGAGAGCAACGACAACAGACAACAACGACAACAGAGAGCAACGACAACAGAGAGCAACGACAACAGACAACAACGACAACAGAGAGCAACGACAACAGAGAGCAACGACAACAGAGAGCAACGACAACAGACAACAACGACAACAGAGAGCAACGACAACAGAGAACAACGACAATAGAGAGCAACGACAATAGAGAGCAACGACAACAGAGAGCAACGACAACAGAGAACAACGACAACAGAGAGCAACGACAACAGAGAACAACGACAACAGAGAACAACGACAATAGAGAGCAACGACAATAGAGAACAACGACAATAGAGAGCAACGACAATAGAGAGCAACGACAACAGAGAGCAACGACAACAGAGAACAACGACAACAGGGAGCAACGACAACAGAGAACAACGACAACAGAGAGCAACGACAACAGACAACAACGACAACAGAGAGCAACGACAACAGAGAACAACGACAACAGAGAGCAACGACAACAGAGAACAACGACAACAGAGCAACGACAACAGAGAACAACGACAACAGAGAGCAACGACAACAGAGAGCAACGACAACAGAGAGCAACGACAACAGACAACAACGACAGCAGAGAGCAACGACAACAGAGAACAACGACAACAGAGAGCAACGACAACAGACAACAACGACAGCAGAGAGCAACGACAACAGAGAACAACGACAACAGAGAGCAACGACAATAAAGCAACGACAATAGAGAGCAACGACAATAGAGAGCAACGACAATAGAGAGCAACGACAATAGAGAACAAGGACAACAGAGAGCAACGACAATAAAGCAACGACAATAGAGAGCAACGACAATAGAGAGCAACGACAATAGAGAACAAGGACAACAGAGAGCAACGACAATAAAGCAACGACAATAGAGAGCAACGACAATAGAGAGCAACGACAATAGAGAACAAGGACAACAGAGAGCAACGACAACAGAGCAACGACAATAGAGAGCAACGACAACAGAGAGCAACGACAACAGAGAGCAACAACAACAGAGAGCAACGACAACAGAGAGCAACGACAACAGAGAGCAACGACAACAGAGCAACGACAATAGAGAGCAACGACAATAGAGAGCAACGACAACAGAGAGCAACGACAACATAGAACAACGACAACAGAGAACAAGGACAACAGAGAGCAACGACAACAGAGAACAACGACAACAGAGAACAACGACAACAGAGAACAAGGACATATCCTAGACACAAACGCAATATTAATTCTGTCTGGCAGATGGTAATGGGGCCATTAATTCTGTCCGAGTGATGTAACATGGCAGGATTAATTTTGTCCAGGGAATGGTACCGGGAGCATAAATTGGGTGTAAGTGATAGTGAGAGTGGAGCATGAGTCTCCAGCAGATGGTGATACAAGGCCACGCCTCACGCTCCTCCTCCTACACTAGTACTTAACTGACGTCACACACGTCGCACACGTGTGTGACATGTCACACACGTCACTCGCGTCACACACGTCACACACGTCGCACACGTGTGTGACATGTCACACACGTCACTCGCGTCACTCAGGTCAATTTAATTTTAATCAATTTATTGAAAAAAACTCGGCCTATTAGGCAAATCGGGTCTTGCATAGTAGGCCGAGAGGTGCGTTCTGGCTACTAGGTACAACATTATATATATATATATATATATATATATATATATATATATATATATATATATATATATATATATATATATATATATATATATACACACACATATACACATTTATATACATACTCGATTTTTTCCAATTTATTGGGGGAAGGATTTCTGGTCAGTATTTCATCTGGGAATTATGTACTGTGAGGCGGGGTTTTCATCTAGTTAATCGCGGCTCTTGGGCCACCAGCTGTGGGAGCGGGGCGTCTCATCTTGGGCCACCAGCTGTGGCAGCGGGGCGTCTCATCTTGGGCCACCAGCTGTGGGAGCGGGGCGTCTCATCTTGGGCCACCAGCTGTGGGAGCGGGGCGTCTCATCTTGGGCCACCAGCTGTGGGAGCGGGGCGTCTCATCTTGGGCCACCAGCTGTGGGAGCGGGGTGTCTCATCTTGGGCCACCAGCTGTGGGAGCGGGGTGTCTCATCTTGGGCCACCAGCTGTGGGAGCGGGGCGTCTCATCTTGGGCCACCAGCTGTGGGAGCGGGGCGTCTCATCTTGGGCCACCAGCTGTGGGAGCGGGGCGTCTCATCTTGGGCCACCAGCTGTGGGAGCGGGGCGTCTCATCTTGGGCCACCAGCTGTGGGAGCGGGGCGTCTCATCTTGGGCCACCAGCTGTGGGAGCGGGGCGTCTCATCTTGGGCCACCAGCTGTGGGAGCGGGGTGTCTCATCTTGGGCCACCAGCTGTGGGAGTGGGGCGTCTCATCTTGGAGTAATCTTTCTAACATTGGGTCCTCTAACATTTGGATGGTGTTCCACACCCTGATGGCTTGGTGCTGCAGTCTGATGTTTAGTGGCTTTATGTTCAGGAGTTCATGGAGCTCCAGGATTGTCTGATCATATGGTGGACGGTGTTTTGGTGCTCTTTTTAGCGCCTTATTTTGCCACCAATATCATCACAATCACCACCACCACCATCAACACCATCACCTCGACCACTACCATCACCATTCCCGAAGCTAACACAAAGATCAAAACAAAGTTTGAGATCAGTAACAGCCATCTTCTATACTTGGGAGGCATTATAGCAATTTGAAAATAATAGTGCTCAGGAACAGAACATGTTTACACCCTGTCGTCCACCCGATCAACTTGCCAAACTTGACCCCTCAACCACAACCGCCTCAACCAATCATCGCCGCAGTCGACGACTGAGGAGTGGAAGCAATTTCCCCGACGCACAAAGATTGTCCTCAACTGTAAACTCCAGTAAAAACAATTATCTGATTGTACAGTACATAAAACGTCCTTATCCCCGTCAATACTTAGTGTGAAGGAAGGCGTAACTTGCCCAACAGGTAAGGTAAGGAACGGGTTTACCTCTGGCGAGACCGTCTCCCTCTTCACTACACCACGTACCTGAAAATAGAACAAACTGTTATCCCAGGAATTAAAATGATCATCAGCTAGAATACATAATATACAGTCAGCTGACTCGACCAGTTGCTGCTCCTGTAGTCACCCGAACGGCAGCCAGGAGGTGGCTGAGACCGGGCCGTGGGGAGACCGGGCCGTGGGGAGACCGATCCTAGGGAACGCAAGGTAAGCCTCATGATATGACGTAACCATGGCAACTCGTCATGTAAAGGAATATGCTCGTAACTCATCTGCACAATACATCACATGAGCTTGATGGAACTTAAACAATATTAAGATCATACGATGGGCTCGAACCTGCGTCCCTGGAGTAACCAGGGACGCAGGCACCACGAGGCCAAGTTCTACCAGACACTCGACCTCACTCTTAACTATAAAAAAATTCAATGGACAACAAAGATGAAATTCGACCTTTGTATATGTGATATTGTTGACCCTTAGTGGGAGACCTTGTGACATGTTACTGACACGTTTTGAACCGGCCATTATCTAGCACTTATGAATCCACTTAAGAAAGTGTACTCCTGCCCATCATTCCCAGCTTCTTCAAGCACAGCCACTTAATTTACATTTATAAAATACTCTGTGAGTTCCCCAAGTGGTGCAAGGTTGTTTATAACACGACACTGTCTAACATGACACTGTCTATCATGACACTGTCTATCACGACAGTGTCTAACACGACACTGTCTATCACGACACTGTCTAACACGACACCGTCTAACATGATGAAACTGTACCTAACCTAAGGAGTAGTAATGATATTACAAATGTTGGGAGTAGCATAGGTGTGGTGTGAGTAGCACAGGTGTGGTGGGACCAGCACAGGTGTGGTGTGAGTAGCATAGGTGTGGTGGGACCAGCACAGGTGCGGTGTGAGTAGCATAGGTGTGGTGGGACCAGCACAGGTGTGGTGTGAGTAGCACAGGTGTGGTGGGACCAGCACAGGTGTGGTGGGAGTAGCATAGGTGTGGTGTGAGTAGCACAGGTGTGGTGGGACCAGCACAGGTGTGGTGTGAGTAGCACAGGTGTGGTGGGACCAGCACAGGTGTGGTGTGAGTAGCACAGGTGTGGTGGGACCAGCACAGGTGTGGTGTGAGTAGCATAGGTGTGGTGTGAGTAGCACAGGTGTGGTGGGACCAGCACAGGTGTGGTGTGAGTAGCACAGGTGTGGTGGGACCAGCACAGGTGTGGTGTGAGTAGCACAGGTGTGGTGGGACCAGCACAGGTGTGGTGTGAGTAGCACAGGTGTGGTGGCACCAGCACAGGTGTGGTATGAGTAGCACAGGTGTGGTGGGACCAGCACAGGTGTGGTGTGAGTAGCACAGGTGTGGTGGGACCAGCACAGGTGTGGTGTGAGTAGCACAGGTGTGGTGGGACCAGCACAGGTGTGGTGTGAGTAGCACAGGTGTGGTGGGACCAGCACAGGTGTGGTGTGAGTACCACAGGTGTGTTAGGAGTAGCACAAATGTGGTGGGAGCAGCACAGGTGTGGTGTGAGTAGCACAGGTGTGGTGTGAGTAGCACAGGTGTGGTGTGAGTAGCACAGGTGTGTTAGGAGTAGCACAAAGGTGGTGGGAGCAGCACAGGTGTGGTGGGAGCAGCACAGGTGTGGTGTGAGTAGCACAGGTGTGGTGGGAGTAGCACAGGTGTGTTGGGAGTAGCAGAGGTGTGTTGGGAGTAGCAGAGGTATATTGGGAGTAGCACAGGTGTGTTGGGAGTAGCACAGGTGTGTTGGAAGCAGCACAGGTGTGTTGGGAGTAGCACAGGTGTGGTGGGAGTAGCACAGGTGTGGTGGGACCAGCACAGATTTGGTGGGAGTAGCACAGGTGTGGTGGGAGTAGCACAGGTGTGGTGGGAGCAGCACAGGTGTGGTGGGAGCAGCACAGGTGTGGTCGGAGCAGCACAGGTGTGTTGGGAGCAGCACAGGTGTGTTGGGAGTAGCACAGGTGTGGTGGGAGTAGCACAGGTGTGGTGGGAGTAGCACAGGTGTGGTGGGAGTAGCACAGGTGTGGTGGGAGCAGCACAGGTGTGGTGGGAGCAGCATAGGTGTGGTGGGAGTAGCACAGGTGTGTTAGGAGTAGCACAAAGGTGGTGGGAGCAGCACAGGTGTGTTGGGAGCAGCACAGGTGTGTTGGGAGTAGCACAGGTGTGGTGGGAGTAGCACAGGTGTGGTGGGAGTAGCACAGGTGTGGTGGGAGTAGCACAGGTGTGGTGGGAGCAGCACAGGTGTGGTGGGAGCAGCATAGGTGTGGTGGGAGTAGCACAGGTGTGTTGGGAGTAGCACAGGTGTGTTGGGAGTAGCACAGGTGTGTTGGGAATAGCACAGGTGTGGTAGGAGCAGCACAGGTGTGGTAGGAGCAGCACAGGTGTGGTGGGAGCAGCACAGGTGTGTTGGGAGCAGCACAGGTGTGGTGGGAGTACCACAGGTGTGGTGGGAGCAGCACAGGTGTGGTGTGAGTAGCACAGGTGTGGTGGGATCAGCACAGGTGTGTTGGGAGCAGCACAAATGTGGTGGGAGCAGCACAGGTGTGTTGGGAGTAGCAGAGGTGTGTTGGGAGTAGCAGAGGTATATTGGGAGTAGCACAGGTGTGTAGGAAGCAGCACAGGTGTGGTGGGAGCAGCACAGGTGTGTTGGGAGTAGCACAGGTGTAGTGGGAGTAGCACAGGTGTGTTGGGAGCAGCACAGGTGTGTTGGGAGTAGCAGAGGTATATTGGGAGTAGCACAGGTGTGTTGGAAGCAGCACAGGTGTGGTGGGAGCAGCACAGGTTGGTTGGGAGCAGCACAGGTGTGTTGGGAGTAGCACAGGTGTGGTGGGAGTAGCACAGGTGTGGTGGGAGTAGCACAGGTGTGGTGGGAGTAGCACAGGTGTGGTGGGAGCAGCACAGGTGTGGTGGGAGCAGCATAGGTGTGTTGGGAGTAGCACAGGTGTGTTGGGAATAGCACAGGTGTGGTAGGAGCAGCACAGGTGTGGTAGGAGCAGCACAGGTGTGGTGGGAGCAGCACAGGTGTGTTGGGAGCAGCACAGGTGTGGTGGGAGTACCACAGGTGTGGTGGGAGCAGCACAGGTGTGGTGTGAGTAGCACAGGTGTGGTGGGAGCAGCACAGGTGTGTTGGGAGCAGCACAAATGTGGTGGGAGCAGCACAGGTGTGTTGGGAGTAGCAGAGGTGTGTTGGGAGTAGCAGAGGTATATTGGGAGTAGCACAGGTGTGTTGGAAGCAGCACAGGTGTGGTGGGAGCAGCACAGGTGTGTTGGGAGTAGCACAGGTGTAGTGGGAGTAGCACAGGTGTGTTGGGAGCAGCACAGGTGTGTTGGGAGTAGCAGAGGTATATTGGGAGTAGCACAGGTGTGTTGGAAGCAGCACAGGTGTGGTGGGAGCAGCACAGGTTGGTTGGGAGCAGCACAGGTGTGTTGGGAGTAGCACAGGTGTGGTGGGAGTAGCACAGGTGTGGTGGGAGCAGCACAGATGTGGTGGGAGTAGCACAGGTGTGGTGGGAGCAGCACAGGTGTGGTGGGAGCAGCACAGGTGTGGTGGGAGCAGCACAGGTTGGTTGGGAGCAGCACAGGTGTGTTGGGAGTAGCACAGGTGTGGTGGGAGTAGCACAGGTGTGGTGGGAGCAGCACAGGTGTGGTGGGAGTAGCACAGATGTGGTGGGAGCAGCACAGGTGTGGTGGGAGCAGCACAGGTTGGTTGGGAGCAGCACAGGTGTGTTGGGAGTAGCACAGGTGTGGTGGGAGTAGCACAGGTGTGTTGGGAGCAGCACAGGTGTGGTGGGAGTAGCACAGGTGTGGTGGGAGTAGCACAGGTGTGTTGGGAGCAGCACAGGTGTGGTGGGAGTAGCACAGATGTGGAGGGAGTAGCACAGGTGTGTTGGGAGTAACACAAGTGTGTTGGGAGTAGCACAGATGTGGTGGGAGTAGCGCAGGTGTGGTGGGAGTAGCACAGGTGTGTAGGGAGTAGCACAGGCGTGTTGGGAGTAACACAAGTGTGTTGGGAGTAGCACAGATGTGGTGGGAGTAGCGCATGTGTGGTGGGAGTAGTACAGGTGTGTTGGGAGTAACACAGGTGTGGTGGGAGCAGCACAGGTGTGGTTGGAGTAGCACAGGTGTGGTAGGAGCAGCACAGGTGTGGTAGGAGCAGCACAGGTGTGTTGGGAGCAGCACAGGTGTGGTGGGAACATCACAGGTGTGTTGGGAGTAGCACAGGTGTGGCAGCAACCAACGTTACAAGAACAACCTACTGTATCAAACATAACGGCTGTCAAATATCGCCGTTTTCTATGCATCGGACTCAGATTAGGGGGGTTGTTTGGGTTCGTGCGTGTCCGGTGAAGATAGGATCGATTTTTATACGTAGTGAGAAATGAAGAGAATGCGTTATAAGCGGAGTGTGCAGTGAGGAACAGTAGGGCAGTGTGCTGTAGGGGGACGTACAGTGGACCGCTCGTGCAAGGGACACGTACAGCGGACCGCTCGTGCTAGGGACACGTACAGTGGACCGCTCGTGCAAGGGACACGTCCAAAACGTGTCCCTTGCAGCATTACCATCTATCTATCCACGTCCAAAAGTGGATAGACTCGTGGCATTATTGCAAGGCCATTGCAAATGTGCCTTAAGTCGAGTTGCTGATGTGGCCAGAGCTGCAGGTGTTGTTGCAGGTGTGTCTGGTCTTGGCAGTGCGTCTACAGATGCAGGTGTGGGTTAGACACACAGGTGTGTTCGAGGTATGGCTCCAGACACAGGTGTGGCTCCTGACACAAGTGTGGCTCCTGACACAAGTGTGGCTCCTGACACAAGTGTGGCTCCTGACACAGGTGTGGCTCCAGACACAGGTGTGGCTCCAGACACAGGTGTGGCTCCAGACACAGGTGTGGCTCCAGACACAGGTGTGGCTCCAGACACAGGTGTGGCTCCAGACACAGGTGTGGCTCCTGACACAGGTGTGGCTCCTGACACAGGTGTGACTCCAGACACAGGTGTGGCTCCTGACACAGGTGTGGCTCCAGACACAGGTGTGGCTCCAGACACAGGTGTGGCTCCTGACACAGGTGTGGCTCCAGACACAGGTGTGGCTCCAGACACAGGTGTGGCTCCTGACACAGGTGTGGCTCTAGACAAAGGTGTGGCTCCTGACACAGGTGTGGCTCCTGACACAGGTGTGGCTCCAGACACAGGTGTGGCTCCTGACACAGGTGTGGCTCCAGACACAGGTGTGGCTCCAGACACAGGTGTGGCTCCAGACACAGGTGTGGCTCCAGACACAGGTGTGGCTCCAGACACAGGTGTGGCTCCAGACACAGGTGTGGCTCCAGACACAGGCGTCGCTCCTAACACAGGTGTGGCTCCAGACACAGGTGTCGCTCCAGACACAGGTGTCGCTCCAGACACAGGTGTCGCTCCAGACACAGGTGTCGCTGTAACACTGTAAAAGTGTTTGGTTTAGTTTAATACATACATAGAGTACATGAGTCACAGACAAGGATCTGAGAGGCGCCAGTTTGTCGGCCTGAGATCTCACACCTCAAAGCGTTAATGACCTCAAGTGACCTGAGGTCAGATCATGAGAATTTCACCTTGCTTCCGCTAAGCTTATAATTGTAGTCTGGTAGCCTTCAAACATGCCGACGTTTAAGGAGTGGCTTGGTAGTGCCGGAGGCTATCTACTTGTGGGCGGAGTTAGTACTAGGGTCCCCAATATATACTCGGAGAGCATTAAGCATTAGGGAGACAGAAAAAAAAAACAGCAGACGAGCCAGCAGAGCAGAGAAGACGTCCCTAGCAGGGAGG